TTTTGTGGACAACTGTATATATATAGATACAACAACAATTGTGTTTCGAACACATTTTTCCGATTGCTGCTCAATTCTAACACTTCAATAGATGGTTTTTTAATTGCCATGCACTCTAAATGTGTTATTAATTTTTAAAACCAAGTCCGCATAAAAACACCTACATTGTATGTAGATATTTGTATCCTCGTGCAATTGCTTTGTGCTGTCTGCAAATACAATCAGAGCCGCTTCGATCCAATTTAAGCGGTTTGCACTGGTCTATATTCAAGCTTATCACTATTCAATTGTTTATGTTATGCCAGTAAGCAACTATTTTTTTTTTTAATTTGAGTTGCATGACGTGTGACGCATTGCGACATTTCATTATCATATCTTATCAGCGAGATAAATGCGCGCAAAGGCGAAAATACATTAATTACGAGTACATACTATTGCCGCAAATATCACTGCCGTCACAACTAAGTAATGTATTAAGTAGCAGCAAATATGCGAAAACTAGTTCGCTTACAAGATTTATAACCGTTTTTGCTAGAGAAATTTATAACCTCATTTTTGCACAAGGAAATTGCATTACGCACTGATTCAAAGAAAAAAGAAAAATGTTGAAGAATAGAAAAATGAAACCACGATGAAAAAACATTAAAAATTAATTAATTAAAAAAAAATAACTAACACAATTTTTTTTTTATTTCCTGTCTCAAATTAGGCACGTTTCATAAATTTTTTTTTTCAAAATTTTATTGGTTCGTCATTTATTGGTAAATCTGAAACCTTTCGGTACATAAAAATATGCCTGTCCTAACAACGTTTCGATCAGTTCGTAAGCAAAGGTATGGGTACGATGTGTTGTATGAGTAACATTTGACAGCATGCATGATCAACATGTCGTATAAGTAACCTGCAGGCATACAAGTTTCATATGTAAGAAATTTGTGAAATTGAACTGAGTTTTAAAAATTATAATATTTTTAGTAACTCGCCAATATATGAGAAAATAAATATTTTACATTTATTATATATTATATAATACAGGGTGGCTGATGAATTTTGCTACATTAAGAAACTCAAATAATTTTTTTTTTCAGTGTATGAAATTAATTTTTCATTTATTCATGTTAAAGCTCATTCAGTTTTATTAAAGCTTTATTAGTTTTAAAAATAATGGAATTTAAATGCCCCCCCGTGCTTGTTGATGCATGTGCGGCATCTTACCAAAAAATTGTTCATTACTGCTTGGAGAGTTGAGACAGGAATAGCCGCAATTGTTTCTCGAATGGATTGCCTTAGTTCATTCAAATTTGTTGGTTTTGCTTTGTAGACTTCCTGTTTGCAATAACCCCACAAGAAAAAGTCAGGTGCAGTAAGGTCAGGCGACCTGGGTGGCCAATGGAATGTGGGGTTATTGGGAAATTTTCGTCGCAATTCTGTCATAACAGACCCACACCCATTTGAGCAGATAAGTTTCTTGTCGAAACACGTGGATTATTTTGTATGGCAGCAGCTACAGCAGCGATTGTTTCCTCCGTTCGAACTGAAGGGTTTCGATGGTAAGGTCTTCTGTTGACTGTCCCATGCTCGGCAAAATTGTTTACAAGTCTCATTATGGTCCATATGCTCGGAGGATTGCCGCCAAACGCGCCTATACTCTCTTTGAACCGAAACTACGGACTCCAGTGCGTGATAGCGGYGGACAATCCAAATTCTTGTTTCAGTGTCCTAGTTATCCATTTTTGTTAAATGTAAAAGTCAATCTGCAAAATAAAAAAAATTAACCAGATTCATTAAATAGAAAAAAAGTTATTTAATTTTTTTTTGGGTAGCGGCTTTCATCAGCCACCCTGCATATCGGTTTAACTCGATTTCCGACAAGACTTTGAGTCCTATAAAAAACATTTATATGACAATGTTGTAGGCCATGAAAAAATCTATAACTTTTGTATATTGTATTTTTTCACATAACCTCAAAATTTGCATGAAAAGCTTAAATATTCAAGTTTTTAGCTTTTTTATTTTATCTTATACAACAATTTTTTTCTGTGAAAAAATTTGGTGTAAACTTAACTACTTATGTCCTAAGCACACTGTATTTTTTAAATAAAATATATATTTTTCCTCCTTATATTGATGATTATTGGAAAAACGGTAGTTTCCAATAAATTGTCTACTGAATTGAGGTCCTGGGTTTGGGCGGATCGATCCAATATACTAATTTCTTTACTGAAACCTGCTGCGAGCTGCTTGGAGTCGGTGTTCTGCAAAAATTGCACCGGGCGATTCAATTTACTCTTTTTTTTATTGAAACCTTCTGTAAGCTGCTTGGGCTCTATCTACTTTCACTACTGTTAACATATTTTTGAAATTTTCGCTGCAAAAAAGGATGATAATTTATATATTTAGTTCAACTTCTTTAAAAAAAAATAATAAAAATTTTTAAATTGTAAAAATGCGCACAATGACCTAGAACAAAAAAACCAAAAATTGAATTTTATAGAACTGGCAAAAAAATTTTCATGGTGATCGCATCATTTGTCTTCGAGTTAACACTGTGGCAGATAATTTTACGGTGCTGATTGAACAGAGCGGCTTCACTTTATAAGGCTGTAACTCAAAAACAATTTGCGTTATCGATTTGAAGTTTTAGTGTGTTAATTCTGTTTTAGAAACTACCGAGATATGAAAAAAAAATTATTTTTTCAGAATTTCAGAGTAGTTGTGACCCTTAAAATACTTTCCGATCTCTTATTCAGAAATGACTGCTTTTAGTTTGGCCGCAATATACATATCATCAAATTTGTATTAAATAATCATTCCCTTGTGTAATCTCAACACATTCGATATCATTAAAACCATTTGTTTATTACCATACCAACAACAGAACTAACCTGAAATTCGCACTGCAACCGTAGTACCGTACCTGTGCCGCATTTCAAATGTCAACCTTTCTAAATGAAATTGATAGTCCAACTATATAGCTACGCAGATGGCATTATCTACAGAAATACAATCAGTTATTTACTCCTTGCCACTTTACATGTCTACCTATATTTACCTGTTTTATTATTAACCACACTTATCAGTGTCTCCCACGAGTAGTGGCTCCTTTACATGTTTTTTTTTTTTGCTTATTTGACATTTCTGCTGCACCGCTTTATTTGTTTGTCATATGTCTGTGTAGTACAACTGAGTTTACATTTAGTTGGCATTTATTGTGCTCTTTCTCATTCGTCGCCAATGCCTCGGCTGTGACTGCTCTCTCCGAAATCTATTAATGTGCCGATGCACGCGACCATAACGTCGTGGTCACCGCTGAAATAGGCAACCTTCTTCTACCACGACCTCTATCAACCAAACGCGCCGTTGGCACCACTGCGTCCAACTGCCTTTTTGCCTCGCTTATATGCCCCTCCAACATTTGTACATATGTATGTATGAATACATGAACACACGTAAAGTCATACATATTTACGAATGCATGTATGTTTGTATGTACATATATACAATTATATTATGTATTGTTTACAATGTTTTGGCATTCGACAATGAAACGTTCTCCTCGTCTGTTACTATTATTACCAAACAAAGCCACTTGTGCCGCGCTACGAGAGTGGCCTTTCACAGCCACCGCTGCGCCGTTGCAGTTGCCCACCAGCATATGGACATAAGTTACGTTCAGTTCACGTGCCAGCGAATGCACTTCATTATTCATTCAAGCTTCCTAGTCGCATCACCTTTGTGCGCATCCTTTTGTTGAACACAAACACACACATTCATGCATGCATGCATATGTACATGTGTACCCATGTGTGTAGGTGTTGGTGTGTTCGTGTGTGGTGTCCTGCGCGCGACTTCGCTGCCATCACATCACGCTGCGAAACTTCAAGTATCTAGTCTATATATGGATGTATATGTGTGAATTTCTGTAGATATGAAAGGTATCACAATCAACTTGTGAACTTTCATATCGTGCTCATCATGATATGATTGAATTACTACTTTTTTATACAGCGCAAATTATAACGAACACCAACACTGTCAACATCGAGCGGTAATAGTGGCGGCCAATGTGGATGAATGTTAAATGCCAGCAAACACACTCGCTTACATAACTATCTACAAACATAGATGCATATATACTATAAAGATATCAGTACATGCATTTTTACGTGCCTGTGTAGACGAATGTGTGTAATATACGCACATGCAAGGCTACATTAGTTTAAGCGTCAAGTCTTTCATTGCTTGTAGGAAATGAAATTCTGAAATGTATTTAAAACGATTAGGAATATGTTCTAAATGAGAGCTATAGCTGGTGCGCAGGAAGCTAGACGTTCACCTCTGCGTCTACAAAGCTAACATTGTCAGCGGAAAGGGTTCATAGCGTCAACGCAAATATACAATTTTCATGTATGTGTGTAGGTGTGTGGGTCATTTTGTTTATGCAATTGTCTTAAATCGTTGCTGGCAATCGTTCAGTCATTCAACTAGGCCACAGCCAGTCGTCCATTCGATTTATTTATTATTTCTTTGTTATAAATCTCATTTACTTGTGCCTTTAAGGAAATCTTTATACATATCCGTTATAACTCGTATATAAATACTATACATATATATGTTTGTATGGTATATGTGTGTTGCTCTGCGTTGATACTCGCATGTATACAAACGGCCGATAAAGTGCAGCGCGTTTTTCGACCTCAAAAGTCGCCGATAAAAAATAAAATGGCAATGACACAACCAATTTTACATATTAAACCGGTATAAACGATAAAATGTACTTAAATATTTTCTTATCATTGCATGAGGCACTTTTAATTTCGAGTGCAAAGTTCAAGATTTTCAAAAAAATGCTGTTCATTGGCATGAAAGTTATTTTCAATTTCAATGAAAATAAAGGTGAAATATATAGGTGTGTTCGTAAGAATCTGAACAGTGATTCACGATAGAACTCGATACTTGTGACCGTGCACATATTTGAAAACTTGATAGCCTTTGGTCGAATCTAGTCAAATGTGACGGGACTGACCAAAAAGTACATCTTAATGTATTTTTATATAGGGTGTCCAAAATTTAACGCGAAATTTGAATTTGCGATTTTTTCAATTTCATGTATTTTCATACAGGGTGCTCAAACGTAACGCAAGATTTAAATTTGCGGCCATTTCAATCAGGTGCTGCATAAGTGACGAAATTAAAGCACTATTTCGTATGTTTTGTATGAAGTTTTCGAACCACGGCCGCAAATCTATTATTATTTTGATATATTGTTCAATAATGATGTTTTATCGTGTATCGTTTCAGTTTTACTAAGTCTAAACATTCTGTCAGATGTCGTTTTTTTTTTTTTTGTCGGGTTGTTAACCCTTTCTACATAAATGGCGGAAAATTTCAATTTTGGGTTTATTTTTGGAACACCCTTTATTTAGCTCCGATCTTTAGTTAATTTTTAAATCATCCTTTATATTTTGTATTAATCGCCTTTAAAATATACTCTTCAGTTAGTCTTTGCAGCGTCATTCGCAAGATAGTTGAGTAGTTTCGATGTCATATGCATAAATCGTCTTCAGTAATGATGCGTCAGCTATATTAATATTAACCAAAATGTAATGTGTTGAGTCGATCTATAAGGGATGTTGAGATGCTCTGCTATGTCTCTAACACAGCGATTTTCAAGCACTGTTCTGTGTTCTTTTTCGATGACTTCGCAACCTCCACTGAATGCTTTCTGCCATCCAAAATGCTGTCGATTTGAAAAAAAAAAATTTTAAAATACTTAAAATTCAAATTTTTAAAAATCCAGGGCTATAATTTCGGATTTCTTTTTTTAATTCTTTTTGGGAGACATTTTAGAAATACTTTTCTTTTAGCCAAGAATATCCCGTTATGTACAAAAAAAAATAGTTAGTTTTGAAAAATTCCTTTATGGAGTTATTTTTGAAATACATTTTAATTAATTTATGAAAAGCAATCAAAACATTTTTTTTGTAGAAATATTTTTTTTTTGTATAAAACATTTTTTTGCATCTAATATATTTTTTATATTTTTTTATTTCCAATGTGTATTTTAAAATAAATAACTGCCAAGCAACATTTTAATAAATCAGTATAATAGGTGTTTATGAAATTGCTGCAATTTTTCATTATATTTTAAAATGCTAATTGAAACTAATAATTTTCAAAATGTTCGATTCTAATTGAAATTCATAATTTAAAACATATACGATTAGAAACGGTTTTGAAAATATTCTATAAATTATATTTCTCAATAAAAATATAACGTGCGTGTATAATTTTGAATTATAAATATTTACGTAGCATAATCTATAGATATTTCTATCATAAAGCATTTAATGCCAACATCTACTTCACGCTGTGCGTAGTCCAAGATCTCTTTGTCTCACCTTCTCGCTCTTAAGCCGCCTGCGCCCAATCCACTGGTAATCTCAAAATTATTTAAGTACATTGTACTGCTATTTGGCACTCATTAACCCATTAGCAACATATCTATACAAAGAAATGTTATAAACCATTTCGTCTCTAAATAGAAATTCATTTCTCACCTCATTCATGTGCGCATTTACACCTCGGCGGTGTGTTCAAATCCTTCCTTCACTAAATTTTTGTTTTGATCGAACGTTGGTAATAATATTTGCTATGAATTTACACTTTGTTTTACGCACACAATAAATATTTGCACGGCTTTTAGTGACTCGTGCCGCCTGCCCCACCTGCTGCCCCTGTTTAGATATAGAGATGGCGTTGCAAAGTTCATTGCAAATTACTTATATCTATAATAGAAATAATAAAACCTGAAGTCCAACGCACAAAATTAGTAACATATGTATGCATTTACGTATGTATGTATATAAGCATATATGTGTGTACACATTGGAATATTGTTTGCAGGTATTTTATCGTGTTTCATAAAGTCGTTTTGCCTGTTGCGCAACCTTACATACATTTATAAAAAATATTGAGCATACATATGTATGTGTTTATTGTTTTATGATTGCTTATTTTCTGAAATTCTATCACATCAAATGATAAACTAAACACAAACAATGTGTCCGACAAATAATCTCCCTCCAAACATGCATGTACGAGTACATTTATCCGCACAAATACTGTTGAGGTTGCTTTTGAATTGCTGAAGCTAGCATTTCCGTTGCAGCGTGGCGAGCTTTAATTGTGAATTTCACTGCAAATCAATTGAATTGAATAAACAAATAAATGATCACTTTACATAAAGGTTTCAATGTGACTACACACACGTGTTTCTCATAAGTACAAGTCAATTAATCATTTGTGTATATAGTATATGTATGTTTTTGATTTATAAAATTTATTTTTTGGTATTCTCTTTGTTATTGATTTGTTTATAACAAATTTTTCACTTAATGATATTCATATGTATTTGTATACGTTATTTTCCCCACTTCATTTGTACACTTGCGCGCTGCACATTAACAGCGTTGTAAATATATTTTTACATGCATACATTCGGCAGCTCGGCAAGCATTTTAAGCGCAACAAACTTTCGATTCAACATTACCGATTTGGGGTATTTGAGCAAGTCTGCGCTATCAAACACGGTCAGTTAATTCAAACGGGTATCTGGTATGCACCATAATTGTGAAGCATGTGTAATTGTTTGGTTAGCACACTATTGGCAGGCAAAGTGTAAATATACAAGAAAAATAATATCTTGAACCATTTATATCTGTTTATATAAAAAAACTTAGGTTAGGTTAGAGGTCGATCCTGAGAGGCAACTCACTTGAAGAGCTAAGAATGTGTGGTTCGTTGTGGAATCTAAAAACTCCTATATATGGGATCATAACATCCTTACAGATCGACAAAGCGCTATAGCCAAACACCAATTTGTTGAGAAGGCTTATATCAGTATCGGCAATGTTTTCTGATTCGCCGAAAGTAAAATTACAGAAATGTTTCAGCAAAGGCTGAAGGACAAAGCGCCTTCATACAACTTTGACAACCGACAATATTTTTAGCCTAACCGCATGAAATCCAAGTTTTCAGAAATGCAGTTAAAGGAGGAGAGAATTTCGTCGTGTCCTTTTTCGAACCCTTCATAAAAAAAGCTTCTCTGAGTCTCAGAGCACGCTTCGGTGTAATACAGGTGTCGGCAATGTCCACAGGTGGTATGTTTAAAATGGCATTAAGTGTTATTGTTGGTGTATTCCGTAGTGCATGAAAGATGCCGATGAGAGCCGCAAAGTGTAATTCGTTCGATTCGCTTATCTCCAACGTTTGGCGAATCGGAGATAGCTAGTGCATTTCTGAAAGTTTTTAAAATTTTATAGTCAAAAGACCTCCATACATCTTCAAACTCGGATCA